GACTCAGCATGGCATACGTTTCTTTACGGTAGACGTTAGGTTTGACATGCGAGAGAGAGAGAGAGAGGGGGGAGGGGGGGGGGGGAGAGAGAGAGAAGAGAGAGAGAGAGAGAGAGAGAGAGAGAGAGAGAGAGAGAGAGAGAGAGAGAGAGAGAGAGAGAGAACAAAGGTAAATATCTATCCTTTGCTGCCCAATGGCTGTAAAAAAGTGGCCTCTTTCACTTACACGGGATAAGCAAATAAGACAAAGTTTCTCCGATATTTCGCTTCTCTCTGCCAAAGGCTATGCTAAAGTCTATCTTATGTCTTTACGGTTGTATCACGGATATGTTTGGACGATAATTGTTAATGTTTATCGAAAGAAGTGTTCCTTTAAAATCGCAAGGTAAAGTCATCAATCACAATGATATCAATCATTCAAAGAAAATAAAAAATCTACCAATCAACAATAATGAAATATGCGATTAACTAATAATTCATGCTTTTGTAAATTTGGAAACATTGAAGAAAAAGAATTATCAGACACACGCAGCAACGAAGGAAAGAACATTTCGTATTCTTCCGGTACTCATTCTAAAATTCTAAACTAACTAACGGGATCGATTACATCGCAAATAGAATCCTAGATGAATCAAAGATTCGCAACTGAAGGGTATAAATCTGATTATAGTCGCTTACTGCATGCGTTTGACAAAACATCAATGGAATTGTATAATGTAAATTTAATAATCTATTGAAATTTTAATTAATTTTGTGCAATATTTAGCTATTATTATAAACATTCCTATTTGTGTTTTATATTTAGTATCAAATGTAAACTTAATTAACCTGGCCTTTTTTCGAAAGTTATGTTAACTTCTGCCCCCTTTACTTACTTCCTTTTTCTAATTATTTAATCTTCCATTTTCAACATTTCTTCTTTACAAATACTCATAATAACGGAACTGAAATAGCAGGGTTCGATGTCAAACGTGTGACACATCTAGAAATCTAATCGCAAATGCATGTCTGAAATATTACTTGACAATTTGTATTGTCCGAAATTCGTGTATTTAATCATGTCACATTGCACAGTAGCGAAGATGCTTTCAAACGCATCAAATCTAAACTGATATAATTTTGCATATGTACCTATTATCTGCATTGATGCGCTTGAAAACTTGACTACTGTGCAACGTGACATGCTTGAGTACATGAAGTTTGGACAACTTGATTTGACAACTTTAAACAGTTCTCGTTTAAAAACTGTTATAGCCTTGACATTTTGGGTATTAGAATTTTCGTCTAAAAAGAATCTGTTATTAACGGTTACACGTCAAGACCGAGGCATCTCGTATATTGAGAGTTTGACCTCTCATCTCCAATGTATACGCTCGCGTCGTGTCTTGGATCGTTCGAATGTAATTTGCCCACGGGACTGAAAGGGCGAAGTAGGTATAATATTGACGGACGGCTTGATGGTAAACGAGGAGAATCGACCGTGCACATCGACGGCCGTTGTAACAATACGTGCACGTGCATTTCGCCGGTATATTACGCGCGCGTTATTAGCTTCAGATATTTCCAAAAAAGATTTCAGATTCGTTTTAATCAATCCTTATTCAATTTCGTCTACAGGCTGAAGTTGGCCTATTTCGTTTCGGTTACAATGATCGACTTTTCGGTCGATGGCGAAATAAGTCACG